TTAAATATGCTTCATAATTATATGTAATGTATATGTATATATATATAATTACGTTTACGTTTATAAAACTTAATTTGATGTTAAGTTAAATGATACCTTTATTTTTTATACTGCCTACCATGAAAATGATTTGGAAAAAATATAACTTTTGTATCAACAAAAATATCAGTAATAGATAGTTTCTTTCTTGTTTTTCTTTAACAGATAAGAAAATTAATTAGCAATATAAAATGTTCATACCATTCCTAAAATAAATTTTCATCGTATAGGCAACTTTACCATATATTCTATGAAATAACAAATGTGCATTGTATAATATATATCCTCAGTATATATTATATACGTGAAACAAAAGAATTGTAACAACCAACCATGTGATGACAGCTCTGTATATACACCATAAAAAGAAATAATTTGAATTTTTAAACAAGTATATAAACATATATATATATATATATAAATATATATATGTTTCAAGAAATAATAATAATAAAAAAAATAGAAAAAAAGAAGAGAGAATTGAAGGGAAAGAACTTGGAAAAAGTATGCGCATTGGAAAATTGACGTATTTAGAGATCAAAATACTTTTCATGACATTTTTGCGAACCCAAGAGAGCTACACAATTAGAACTCCGGTTGAGATACTGCTGCTCCTAAAGGAAACAAGATTTAACTTTTCCAAGTTGATCTCTGACTGCTGATTGGCCCAAAGAATTGGCATATCGTAGATAGTACTGCAACTCTATTAAAAAGCTAAAAGAATATTGTTTTCACATTACAAGTTAATATGCCGGTCATTTTTCTTCGTATACTTTTCAAATCTTTATCTTTTATCTTTTTTTTTCATTTAAGTTTAAACTTATATATGCACATATATATATGATACTGGACATTGATATTTAATATATTATATGTATTATGATAATATTATATTGTTTCTTTGTTTATATAGTCATCGGCAAAATGTCTATTATTGTTTCAAGTCCTGATATACTTTTTCGTTTTATATAGATATATTTATTTATATATATATATATATATATATATTTATTTATATAAAAAATATATATAAATTTATATATATATTCAAATTATTAGCTGCAATGATATCAGTTTTTTTTTCACTTTGGTGGTAGTTGTCTTTACTTAAATAATGATTTCTCATTTATTTCTTAGGGCTGGTGATAAATACCGTAGGCACCAGTCACTCGCCGCTTATCAGTTGTCGGTCGGGTCACGGTTAGCCGGTTGCGAGCCGCCCGCCATAATCGCACTGGGTCGTTTGCCACCTGCAGACCAAGCCACATAAACGGAGTTAATGGCATTTTTTTCATTTGTTTATCGATTCCTAAAATTGTGCTTTATCACGCCCAAAGAGGATTGACATCGTATCAGAATTTACTCTACGCGTGTTCCAGCAGGCAAGTGTGTCTGTGCGAGACTTATTGATCTGACGCAATTGACTCGACTTCCAGTGCTTGTGTAGTGACGAAACATGACGGACTTGAACTTGACGTTGACTTCTCAGAAAATTCAGACTCAAAAGTCATTCTTAAGTCTTCACGGTTTGGTTCTCAGATCCCAGGTAATCGTACATTATTGTCAATCGTTAACAATTGACTAACCAGAATTCTGCTGCAATGAATGTACGAGGAAGATTCTCGGCTGTCCAAAAATGTATTTAAAAGTTAACACTCTATAAAAACATTACAATCATTATTTGCGTTTACAAACTTGAATCATCAATAATAGAATCACAAATTTTCTTTATTAGAATTATCACAGAACTATAATAGAGAATTAATTAAGTAGGTAGGAGAGCAGAAATAAGGAGTTTACACAAATTTATAAAAAATTTTCAAATAAACTTATACCTCGCAACAACAGCACAATAAAAAAATTTACAACTAAGACTTATCATCATTACGCATTATATTTACCTTATATATCTTATTGTCTCATCATGCATTATACTTTACTTTGACTTTGAAATTGACTAATAAGAAAAACAAAACAGTGGAGTAACGGCTTTCGGTCATTGATTTTCTTCACGTTCTACATTGAGTTCTCATCCCTGAACACCTACCACATGGGTAAGAGAAAGTATACCTTCAAATTTATAAACCAAAAATTTGTCACTCTCCAAATACCATGAAATATTTATGCAGTTTCAAAAACAAAATCATCAATCACATGTATGCTACTTTCAAATTTGTAGGTTACATTCGCTTTCCCAAATGAACTTTTATACATCTCTATGTTTAATCTAATAATGCTTACCCATTTTTTTATTTCTCAAAAAACATACCCCAAACTATGAGCAAGAGTTTGCGATAATCCAAGGCTGTAAGGATGGTAAAAGAAAAAAATAAGAAAAAAAGAGAGAAAGATAGAAAAAAAAAAAAGAAAAAACAAGGAGTCGATTCCTTAGTATCAAGAAGTCCACAAAATGCTGCGACAAATGTAAAGGATCAAAAGAAAACTGCATCAAAATGTAAGAACACAAAAGAAAAGTAGTAATATTTACATAGATCAAGAGTCCGACAAAAAATTGTTACACATCAGACTAATTACAGACGAATCCGGTGTGACTTAAATCATCCAGCTTGAGTTCTCGTTACGCTGAAAAAGGGAGTAAAGGCAACAAAGGTGCTGCTATGTAGCTAACTGAGAGATAAAAAGAGCAAAAGAGAGATCAATTCTTATGATATTATACATTAATTTGATTGATAAAATTAAATTAATATCTCTCAAAAGATATCTTACAGGAAATAGAACAACAGCATCCTTGATTAATCTATTTTCAATAAATAAGAGAAAATTTGAAGTTTCATTTCTTTTATACACTTACTCTTTTGAATCGATAATAATTATATATAGAGACAAATATATATATTACTCTCGAATCGATAAACATGAATGTCGTAAATTGACTATAGTAAAAAAGATGGAGATAAAAAAAAAATTAAAGAAATGTTCTTTTCTTTTTTATTGGAATGAAACTCAATGTAAAACGTAATAAAATACGCAAAGGATATGCCCAAGCGTGTTGTAGATGAAAAAAGAAAAATAATTTGGTATATATTGAATGTATATATAGAATTGATAAGTATAACTCAAAGCCCGCCATTTTATATGCCTGTTTCACGCTACGAACGAAGGAATGGAGGAACGTGAATAGAGGAACGACGCGTGGGCGCGTCCCTCTGAAACCTACAGCCGGCATCTCCACTTGTTTTCTTTTCAGAACCACCATGTATATATATTAAAATATGAAAATACTTGGAATCCGTTGGAAAAAAAGAAAGTTACCAAATGTTTAATCATAGTAACGTCACGCTGGTAGTACAATTTTAAAAAATGTGAGCCTTCATTCTCCGTCTGATGTCGTTGGATTACTTTTTATTTTTTGTAACACCGTAAAGAGAAAAGCTGCCGCGTCCGCCATTTTGTCATACGCGATTGTACCAAACGAAAGCAAGTCTCGACGCGGTAATAGATGTAATAATCTATATAAAATATATATATATATTTTATATATATTTATGGTCTCGCGACGACGCATAAAATGTAAAGAAAAAAAATAGAAAGAAAATAGTTTACAATGCATATATACGAATATATATTTATTATAATATGTATATATATGTAAAATCGACCGCACGAGTAGAAAACGTTAAAAGAAATTACGTGCGTCAGAACGAATAATAATTTATTTAAACGCGTCTCGCTATCCAAGTTGGAAAGCAATCTTGGGAGAGAATATAAAAGATCGAGAAGAAAATTTACCTGTCTTCCTGCGACTCCTGGTTGTTTTCAGCGGCGTCCCCGCCGCCACCATTTTCCGCTTCGCCGTTCTGCTCAAAGTTTTGATCAGCGATATCTTCGCTGAAGTCATTGTTTTCTTGATCTGCCATTTTTTAATTTAACGCGAATTAATTTAATCGAAGGTTATGCGTTTTATCAAAAAGAAATAAAAGTTCGATAGAAAGATATAAATTAACACTATAAAGGAAACACGTTATCTACAATTTAAGGGAGGAGAGAGAAAAAAAGTCCGAGTGTTTCGAGCAAAACGTTTAAGAACTAACTGCACAAGCTACCACACTTTGTAAGATACGAGCAGACTCGCTTTACAGAGTTCTCTGATGGTGAGAGAAAGAGAGAGAGAGCGACTCCACATCCGTACGGCTTCGAGGCTTCTGCGCAATGCCTCATGGGATCCCTAACCGCTAGCAACTACGCCGACCAACCAATCACGTTGTTTTTATTCAGTGCCGTATTTGGTGGTATTCGTCCCCCAATTTAATCACCGGTAAATTCTACGATCTATGCCGGCTAAAAAATAAATCGTTATCTATCAATATCAACTCTAATAATAATATATATCGCATAAGTAATATATACTAAGTTTAAATATTACTATATAACAGCATTATCATATTAAAATATATTTATATTTGTTTATTGTTTCTTACAAAATGAAAGAAAAAAAAAAGACAAAAAAAGAGAGGTAAATTTATAGAAAATACATATTTTAGTGTATATACTCGAATAATCGAATTTACGAGATATGGAGAAGATTAATTATTCGTATCTAGTGAAATATTAAGGTCTATGAAAATAATAGGAACAAAGTAAAACGAAAAATGTTAACAATGTATTGAAGCCTCGTGGCATTATAAGCGTTAACGCCTAATATTCCATGATTAATACGTTCCTGAAGTTTCGATCAATGTGAGAAATTGTTCAACGGAAGAGAGAGATGTCGAGCGGCGGATGTGGCGGCATTTCGTTCCCGGGATGAATCGACTTCGATATAGAGTAAACGTACGGAAGAACGTCGCCATTGGTCGAGAATGGCGGCAAGCGTCTGTAATCGGCCAATCAAAATCTATATGAGATCCCGCTCCTTTGCCTAGTTTTTGCTTCCCACAATTCCAAGCGCGCGCGTATGCTACTATGAAGAAATCAATAATATATATTATATTTATCAATGGATTCGGAGTAAAGCGTTTACGCGCGGTATTATTAATAATAAATATTATTATTATATTAATTGATTAATATTAGAATGCAATTCTATTAATATTTGTATTATATAAACATTGTTTTTATAGGGCTTAAGTCTGATTGTGAGATTATAATATTCGACTCTTCGAGTGTAAACTTTTATGTATGTGTGTGTATGTATGTATGCATGCATGTTTGTATGAGTAAAAATTTTTTCTTCAATACGATAGTATTGGTATCGTATTAAATGATACACTACTTTGTAATCTACTATATTTCAATATAACTGTCGTCAGCATTCAAATACTTTTTTATTTTTCTTATTACATTTTTTCTCTTATTATTATTATTATAATTTAAAGAAAGATACAAAAAACGAATCTTTTGGTTAGTGACTAACAGGAAGTTCTCTTTCCCCTATTAAGTTATACCATAAATGGATTTCTCAAAATTTAGGATTATCTGATGATAAACAAATAATTGAAATTTAATCGATATTTAATTAAGTTCGATAATCTAATCGAAAGATTACTTTTTGTTTGTTAATATTAACTAACTTCAATTAGTGTTTTTTAAAATCGTTTGTACGCTTCCATCATATTGTAGGAAAAATTTCAACGTGTAGAAAGAAAAGACCGAGGTCATCGAAATGCCTGAGGAACAGAAGGTGGGTTAGTCTCCCTCGTGTATTCCTAAAATAGGATGTCGGTGAAAATGAGGAGGGGAGAGAAAGAAAGAAGAAAGAAAGAGAGAGAGAGAGAGAGAGAGAGAGAGAGAGTGAGTGAGAGAGAGAAAAGACAAACAGTAAGAGGGGAAGAAAGAAGGGGGTAGACAAGGGGAGAAAGCAGAAGAGGGACTTTGGACTATAGCAGATTTTGTACTAGTACGTTTCACTATTCACTAACTCACATGCTACTACGCACGTGTGTGTGCGTGTATCTATTCGTAGGCCCTAAAACTACAGGATGTCTGGCGTACTTGTAATAAAATACGTGCTGCTATATTTCGTACGGGACTTAATCTTTGGGACTATTATAAACCTTTAGATCCCGAAAACAACAGCTTGATTTCAGGTAAAAATTTTTCAATAGTGTCAAGTTATACGAACAATTTTCTTTACAACATTTTCAAGGAATTTCAACTTAAATACGAGGCAATAAGGAACCCAGAATTCTGTGATTTATTGAAGATTTTATTTTAAGATAAACTTTGGGACAAACAAATACATATTTAGAAATATTCCAATATATTTTTCTCTTCTTTCTTTTTTCTTAATATTAAAACTCTAAATTATTTTTATTTAAGATAATTTTCAGTATAACTTGGCTAAATTATTTGACAAAATATTAATTAACGATTTAAAAAATAATTTTGATAAATTCTATATTCGCAGAAGTAAAATTTGTCTCAGTTTTGTGCGGTCCACTGAAAGGAATTATCGGCTTATCTGATAAAGAAATATGCGAACTCGCTGATTATTTTCGAGTACAAGATGGACGAATTCTTTACAGGCAATTTTGCGAGGTCATTCACGACAGCGGTATGACGAATAATTTTTTACAAATGTGTCGTGAGATCACTATTGAGGAAAAATCTCGATTTGAAAAGTAATAAAATTTATTTATCCATACAAAATTGTTCCCCTCTCCTCCACCCCTCCCATTGTGACTATATTTTTTTTTCTTTCCAAATACAACAAGAATTTTTTCCTATCAATACGATTTCTAAAATTCTTACTGAAGTTTCTTTTCATTTTCTTTTAAAAGGGATGGTTTTATTTTTAATTTCCATTGAAATCATTCTCTTTTATTTGAAATGAAAGATTAGGTTTTTAATCTTCAACGACAAAAGTTTGAAAAGAGAAAGTTACAAGGCTAGGACACATTCTTAATAAAATTTATTTATTTACAAAAAATTGTTCAGCTCTCCTCCACCCTCCATTGACTATATTTTTTTTTCTTTCCAAATACAACAAGAATTTTTTCCTACCAATACGATTTCTAAAATTCTTACTAAAGTTTCTTTTCTTTTCTTTTATTTTTCTTTTAAAAGGGATGTTTGCTTCAAAATTCCATTGATATTATTATCTTTTATTTGAAATGAAAAATTAGGTTTACAACCTTCAACGAGACAAATTTTAAAAAGTAAAAATTACGAGGCTAGGACACATTCTTAAATATAAAAAATAAAATGTAAAGAAAAATCGTTTGCAGTTCCTGATTTTAGTGGGAACAAACCATTTGTAACTGGACTGGAATGGGAAGATCCACTTCATGTTAATGTATTAAGTTCTACTGAACATCGAAAATTGTCTTTGATAATCACTCGGATTGCTATATTGGTCAACAAGCGTAAACTAGTTTTGAGGCCATATTTTCAAGATTACGAATTAGTACGTTTTATCGGAAAAGAAAAAAAAAATACTTAAAATAGATAAAACACAATTTATCTAACGTATATGTCTATCTGAAATATAAAAAAAAAAAATAAAAAAGAGAAAAAAAAATAAAATTGAAATATAATTTAGAAGATTAATATTTTCGTATAGATAGCAAAGAATGCGGGTACCGTTACTTACGCACATTTCGGCAGAGTATTGAAATTTCTCGACATTGTTCTCGGCTCGGAAGAATTTTGTTTATTGGTTAAAAGATTTTCTAAGGATTCCTATACAATAAATTATGTTGCTTTCGTCAAGGCCATTGACGAGGCACAAGATTACATGGAAAGATGCGGGATGCTTGATCTTTCCGGTGTAAGCAAATTATAAATAAGAATAATTATTTATAATAATTAACGAAAGGAAAAATGACAACCAATAAAGTTCCTGCTGTTTCTAAGATATTCTATCATACACATTTATTTTATATAACTATTTATTACGTATTCGTACATATTTATTTGAACGATTTAATAGAAACTATTAGATCAATTTCCTGGCCGAGTGATAACCGCAGAATTACCGAAACTTCCAAGGCCAGAAATTGGCAGGGTTGACTTAAATCGTGTTTTTGGAAAACAAATCGTGTTTCATCCTGTTATGAAATTACGAAAAGAACATATGCCATTAACAGAAGTTATTAGACGAATTCAGAGACACATATTTGAGCATAGAATTCGTATCTCTGAATTCTTTAAGGTATCACTAATAATTTGATAAATTAAATAATCATATTAAAAAAAAAAAAAAAAGAAAAAGTCTTAAACTTTAATTCGAATTGAACCAATCATTTTTAGGATTTTGATCCTTTGAACGATGGTAAAGTAACAGTATCGCAATTTAGAAGAGGATTAGATGCTCTCCAAGTTTCATCCTTAGGAAAACTTTACATTGCTGAGACAGATATTTGTTCGTTGATTACATTGTACAAAGATCCTAACGATCTTGATCGTGTTTGTTGGAGGACGTTTGAAGATGATATAAATCAAGGTATTTTCAGTGTATTCCTCATTTTGAAATAAAATGAAATTCATTTAGAATTGTTCTAGAATATTCTTAAGACGAATATAATTAAAGGTATTATATTTAAATAATTATCAGAAAAATATATATATATAAAAGGGAATAAAATGAAATTATATAAAGGTCGTTAGGAAGAATCCATTTTAAATATAGTATGGTAGTGTTACATTTTATTCTTTCTTTACTAAAGCAATCCATATATGGGATGTAAAGGCCCCGTACTTAATACCGACCCAAATGAGAATCGTACCGTGCTACGATAATTATATACGATTAATTAAATATACAATTGTTATTAGAAAAATTCTAACAAAATATTCTTTCAAGTTTTCACCGTTAGAGAATTGGAAAAATTGCCAAATTTGCAAGTAATTTCACCCCCGAAAGAAGTCGAGGAACTTGTTAAACGTGGTACGACTGATTGGCAATGTGAAAAAAAAACTATAAGAGAATTATGCGAAAATACGTTGTTAAAGGTACGACGTAGGATCGAGGAACGACGGATTTTGTTGAAACAATTCTTTCAAAATTACGACAAGTAATGAGAGAGATATCTTGTGTGACCAATTTATATCGATCTAGAAAATGTAAAAATACGCGTGCTACGATTATTGATTAAAATTATTATTTTATTTCTTTTTTTTTTTTTTTTTTTCAAGACATAATCATGGTCACGTTTCGCGCGCACAAATGAGACAAGTTTTATCTACGGCGACGGTGCTTTTATCACCCGAAGAGGAATCAGCACTCGAGCAAAGATACAACGACGATTTGGGATTCAATTATTTTATGTTTTTAGAAGAATTAGAAGCCAAACAAATAACTCAACCAATTTACGATCAAATGTTAAAACAAAAAATACAAGTTAATGCAGAGAAAGTATCGAAACCTGGCACTGAAGATGAAACTAACGTTGTCCTTGTATTAGCAAAAATTAAGGCCAAGGTTGTACGTGAAAGAATCAAGGTAAATCATTAAACCAAATGTCTTTATATTAAATGATCATGATATTTTCGATATGATTCAATCAACACTATTATATTATTTTCTTTTTATTTAAGGTAGCCGAATTTCTTAAACAATATGATACGCTTAACGAATTGAATATAACAATGGCAGATTTTGTACGGGGATTGGATCAACTTCGTTGTAATTTGAGTTCCACCGAAGTTGATACTATAGCGAATATTTTTAAATCACCTATGAAGTAGGGGGATTAACGTTTTACATATAAAATATATATATATATATATATATATATATATCATATTTTTTTCTATTAAATTTATTTATTTATTTTTAATTAAATCAAAGACCCGGTTTTGTCGATTACGCGAGATTTGCCGAATGCGTAGAAGAAGCTGTGGCCATGGGTAGTTTGGAACGAGCACCATTAATTGTACCAATCCAACATATTCCTTCAGAAGCTAGCAGTAGAACGTTTCTTAATTTTGACGAACGGCATATTTTAAGTCAATCGATGGACAAGTTGTGTGCCATTAAACAACCAAATTTGGAAGAACTTTTTGCGGTTGGTACTTGATTGGTTAATCCAAATAAAAGAAAATGAAATAATAGGAAATGGAAAAAGATTTGAACGATTATATTAATATATATGTAGAAATTAAATGATATGATATTTAATTGATCATTTAATTGTTCGTAGGATTACGATAAAGAAAATATAGGCACTGTTACGAAGAATTGTTTGATGCGTGCTTTGTCTATCAGAGGAATGTTGAATTTGATTAGCAGCCGAGAATTAGATATAATTTACAAATGTTTTTCTATCGAAAGAGTTGGAAATCTTGGATTTGATTATCGTGCATTTTTACAAGCATTGCGTTTGTTGCAAGAAAATAAAATGTCTTTACCTTTTTAAAATATTCTTTCTTCTTTCGTATTCGTATATAATAATTTTTTTTATATTAGTTCTTTCAATACCATATAAGATATTTTGACAATCAAAAAAGAAAAAAGAAAAAGAAATTGAAAAGATTTTCTATTGTTTCGAATGTTTATATGAATAAGTAAAGAAGGATGATCCTTTCGACTTTCTTCAAAACTCGTTTTGTTCCTTTTCTATCAAGTGGATTACAAAACTCGTTTAACCAGGCTCCATTCTCTACGATTTCTTTTCTTTTCTTCTCTTTTTCGTTTGTTTGTTATACTTTAAGAATACGAGAGAGATCCGACAAGATTTTTTTTTTCATTTTTTTTTTGAGGAGGTTAAAGAAGCAGCATGATTTTTACGTTTTTAATTCAGTAATATTCTTCTTCTTTTTTTTTTTTTTGTCTAAGCAACGTCTGTCAGAGAAAATTTGTAATTATAAAGATTAATTTAATTGTTATTATTATTATTAATTTTAGTTTAATCTAATAAAAAAAAACATATAGATTGATTTTTGAAGATTGTGTCGACATCTGACCAAAATTATTTTCTCACCATTTATTTTCGTAGGTAACAAAGAATTTGATTTTAATAGTCGGTAACGTCGATAACGTAGGAACGCAATCGTATCGATACAGTTTGTTTAACTGCTATTTCGATCGCTAGATGACAGAACGATACTGATTATCCGAAAGAAGTAAAATGTAGATAATTAAAATAATCCGTAGGCAAAGTAGAAACTTTATAATACCGACGAAAGAAAATAATTAAATACTTTTACTCGTAAGATAACAATACCATACTTTTTTTTTTGTTTATAAAAAAATTATTAAATAATAAAAATTAATCATAATCTCTCGATTCTTATAATTTGCAAAAAGAAAAAGAAAAAAATAATAAAGAAGATAATACAGAAAGGAAAAACAATAATCCTAACACTCGAACGTTATTATCGGAATTAATAATAATTATTAATTATTTTTATATAGCAAATAGATAAAAATCTAAATTCATTAAAGTATCGTTAAAGTATCATATCATGATTAACTTCTCGAAATTTTTATCGAGATAAAGTTCACTTCAATGATAGATAGGATTTAAGAGTATTATCAGCGTTGTAAACCATTGATCATAATTTTATTATTAAAAATCTTTATTAATGTGTATTAAAGGCATAAATAATAACGATTAAATGAATTCACTAATGTAACAATTTGTCTATAATCTAATTCTACTAAAAAAAAAAAAAAATAATAATTACAATTGTAATAAAAATTTGTATTTGCAATTGAAAACCAATTACAACAACGATGTTATAAACAATAGACGTAATAATAAAGAAGAATAGAAATGATAAAGAAGAATAGAAATGATACAGAAACGAAAAAAAAAAAAAAAGGAAAACGTAATAATGAAAAATAAAAAGAAATTAGAGAAAAGTAGGTGGCTCGTTATCCTTGAAAGAAAAAAAAAGTTGATAGGGTCCAGCAGAGTGTGGAAAGATACGAGATACGTCTCAACGAAAGTAAGGTATAGGCTCTTTGAAGTATGTCTTGTAAGCTCAGAGGTCGTGGAGGTAATTGAGTGGTAAGCTTAAGGATAGAAGAAGAAAGAAAGAAAGAAAGAAAGAAAGAAAGAAAGAAAGAAAGAGAGAGAGAGAGAGAGAGAGAGAGAGAGAAAGACTCTTGAGAAGCTCGTGCAAAAGATGCAAACCGAACTGAGACATAGAGGTCATGCTTCCTGACCTAATTTTATATTCATCGATGCTCTTCCATCAAAAATAATCATTCTCTACTTTTTTTTCTCACTTATCATTAATAAAATTTTCTTGCATGTCAAAAGTTAGTACAATAAAAGTAAAAAAGTATTATGTTAATTTATTAATGTGTTCATAAGACGAGGGGTTTTTTTTTATTTGTATTTTAATATATCAAATTAATAAAAAGATATTTATTATATTTATTTGATATAAACGTTATTTAATTATGAAAAAATATTTTCATTCTATAACAATATTATATTTCGTATAGTAATATTATTAAATTAATTAACATAATTATGTTATTAATTATGTTTCGTATATAGTAATATTATTAAATTAATTATGTTTCAATTATGTTTTATAAATTAATTATGTTATTAATTATGTTTCGTATTATATATATATATATATATATATATATATATATATATAAAAGATGACAATGTTTTCATTGTATATAAAAATTAATTGTAAAGAAAGAATATATTATTTATTTTATAGCAATATCGTTAAATCAAATGTGATACCGTTAATTGTAAACGTTTCTATTAATTTCCGCGTTCAATCGACACACGATTGTTTGTTTAAACAATTTTTAAATTCTTACAGATAATATACAATTCTTATAAATATCAAATAGAAAATAGCATTGTTTGTATGATAAAAATGTTAGGAAGATATCTTTTATCATATCTTGTCATATTCTGATTATTTTCGATTATGCGACTTAACTGTCTATATAAATCGTTAGAATTGGTTTACCTGTAATCAGTACAATTGTTATTTGATACATCATCATCATTGAAAGGTAAATTTTATATACTTATATTATTATTTTCAATTATAATCATATATATATATATATATATATA